AAAACAATTTACCCTTGGCCTAAGGTAAGTTTTCATATGGTTATTGTTAGTTGGAATACCTTTATGAGTAAATTTTGATTTTTAGCATCAAAAGCTCGATTCTTAGCTGTAATGAAGTGGTTTCCACAAAGGTAAACGTTCCTGCCCTTAGGCCTCCATGGCGTGCCATCTTTGTGTAGGCGTTTGCATGCGTTTATCCATTTTTCCCGAGGCTCTTGGTCATTATTAGGAAAACGGAAGAATCCAGGTTTGTTTTCCAAACCTGGATTTCGAAAAGCAAAACTTGCGGCTAACTCCAAACGAGGAAGAGTACAACAGCTTCAGTGAGGAATGTTTTCACTGTAGTTGTCGTTGCGTAGCAACTATGATCGCATGCGCCGCGCATCTCGAATCCGAGAATTAGACATACCAAGTCTCATCTGCCGTAGATTTTCCAATACTGATTTAGGTATCGCGATACAGAGGCAATAAATAATTTGTATATTTCTATTTGGTCTGGTTCGTCATTTATATTATGTTCTTAAAACTATATGCCAAAGAGTAACCCCCTCTCCCCCAGCGTACGGTTTTTATGCTCATGAGAGTTATGAAAACAAATATAATCTTTAAGCGATAGAAGAATGGCGTGACTGTTGAGCAATATGAAATAAAGTGACCATAGTAACACTACACTCCAGTCAAAATTTTGGCTTACAGAAAATTTAGTTCGCTTGAAATCACCTAATTTGTAATGTGTGTTCTTAGAGGTTTACCAGACAGTCTAAGTTTCTACCAAACCTTAAGAGGTCGAGTCGGCAAATGCTAATTTTAGGTACCTTTTTCCTTGATTCCCAACTGAGGTTTCTGCCTCTACCCTCTTTCTTATCTTGATTATAAAGTATCCCATAATTACTGTAAATATAGGTTTTTGCTCTGTCGGTAGTTTCGTAAACATCACAAAAGCTCTCTACTTATTCATCACAGGTTGGCGGGGGGGGGGAGCATTTTTTTTGGTAGAAGCTTTTCTTGGATTCTCCCGTTACGGAAGCTTCTTTTACGCCTTCATCAGACAATTCCACAACATTCTTCGTGAGGCTTTGGCGATCTAAGAAACCTACTCCTAATCCTAGTTATGTGTGTATATATATATATATTTATTTATTTATTTATTCATATATTTATTCACATTTACATATCTATTCATTTATTTATTTATTCATTTATTCATTCATTCATTCATTTATTTATTCATTCATTGAACATTTTCTGCAGCGTCAATATCTAAGGCCATTAGCGGCGTATTCAAAACATAGCGATAGGGTTGGACTAAGGGGCGAAGGTAAAGAGTTTTTTTGGTTCAATAAGCCGATGTTTGTGGATTTCCAGAATGGTTGATGGTCTAAACAAATAAATGTGCCAGATATCAAAGATCATATAGCATTATGGTAAACTATTGTAGCGAAAGGAGTAAAACTGAGTGAACGATTAGAATAAGCAGACAGGAGTGGATGAGGAACAGAAGGAAAAACAAAGGAATAGGAAAGACCATCTAAAATTAGTTAGCGAGGGTTGAGGACTAAGGTATGGGTGATCCCTTACTTTGTGGCTTCAATCCCCGTCTCCTAACCCCCCCCCCCACCCACACGACAACAACGAGCAAGGGATTGGGGGGGGGGGGGGTCTGTGAGGGTGTGTTATTAACACTGTATTACATTGCCCTTCTTACAAACAACTGTGGGAAAAGGGTGGGCACGGGCAATAACATATTCTTTCTCCGCAGTCTAACTAACCAGGAGATATTCCTTTGCCTTTTATTAAATTGCACTGAAGTCTTAAACGACAAAATTATCAACTGGAGCAACCCCTTTACCAGAAATCCACTGCCCTGATGTCAGCGGTTTCGACGTGACCCTGGTCGGGAGGCTAAAAGCGGATACTTATTCATTCATTGAACATTTTCTGCTGCGTCAGTATCTAAGGCCATTAGCGGCGTATTCAAAACATAGCGATAGGGTTGGACTAAGGGGCGAAGGTAAAGAGTTTTTTTTGGTTCAATAAGCCGATGTTCGTGGATTTCCAGAATGGTTGATGGTCTAAACAAATAAATGTGTTAGATATCAAAGATCATATAGCATTATGATAAACTATTGTAAGGAAAAGGAGTAAAAATGAGTTAACGATTAGTATAAGTGGACAGAAGGAGTGAATGAGGAACAGAAGGAAAAACAAAGGAATAGGAAAGACCATCTAAAATTAGTTAGCGAGGGTTGAGGACTAAGGTATGGGTGATCCCTTACTTTGTGGCTTCAATCCCCGTCTCCTAACCCCCCCCCCCTCCCCACAACAACAACCAGCAAGAGATTGGGGGGGGGGGTCTGTGAGGGTGTGTTATTAACACTGTATTACATTGCCCTTCTTACAAACAACTGTGGGAAAAGGGTGGGCACGGGCAATAACATATTCTTTCTCCGCAGTCTAACTAACCAGGAGATATTCCTTTGCCTTTTATTAAACTGCACTGAAGTCTTAAACGACAAAATCATCAACTGGAGCAACCCCTTTACCAGAAATCCACTGCCCTGATGTCAGCGGTTTCGACGTGACCCTGGTCGGGAGGCTAAAAGCGGATACTCCACCTTGCCCAAGGGTGCCCCGTAGGCCAGATGAGGGAAGGAGTCGCATTACTTTTCCCTTGATAGAGGATGCTTCTGTCACGTTACAAGATATATGTGATATATATATATATATATATATATATATATATATATATATATATATACATATATATATATATATATATATATATATATATATATATATATGTATATATATATGTATATATATATATATATATATATATATGTGTGTGTGTGTGTGTGTGTGTATGTGTGTGTGTGTGTGTGTGTGTGTGTGTGTGTGTGTGTGTGTGTGTGTGTGTGTGTGTGTGTGTATTCATTTTAAATTATAATTTATATATATATATATATATATATATATATATATATATATATATATGTGTGTGTGTGTGTGTGTGTGTGTGTGTGTGTGTGTGTGTGTGTGTGTGTATGTGTGTGTGTGTATAGCGGTTCACGCGATACTGTGTAACCGAGCGTACCAGCTCGGTACGATCGATAATGGGTTAACGACAACTGTACAGTTTCACAGTAATCATACTGAAATCATACTGTTAGTATGAAATATGACACATTTTGTTATACTGTATTGTTCCTGGTTTGTGTTAACTGATTAATTGCTTTTCTCGAGAAAGCATAGAAAGTGGCTATTATTTTCCTAAAACTTTGCTTTTGACATGTATTCATGAATAATATATGATTAATTTACTTATATTACTGAAGTTGAATATTATTTTTTCATTGTCGGTATAGATATTTTACTGATACTGACAGATACTAACATTAACAAAATATACTTTTCACTGATTCAGAGGTAATATTTCATAAGCACCTGGCGCCATCTGTATTTACTTTTTATTGACATATTGCAGAACACTTGTATCCTATAAGACAAAGAATGAAAATCATGTATTTTTCTCAGAGTTTTTGAAAATCTCGTTCCCATATAAAAAATATATAGTCTAGAATCGCCTTTCCTTTTTTTTCTTTTTTTTACTTTGAAAACAAAAACAAAAATCAGAGGACCTTTCAAATGCATGTGCCATCAGTATGCGAACTGCCATTACCAAATCAAATTCACGATAAAACGTAATTATATCTATCTATCTATATCTATATCTATCTATCTATATCTATATCTATCTATCTATCTATCTATAGATCTTCAAAAGGAAATTTAGAAAATCGTTATGAAGAATAATGAGAAGAATTCATTTATCAGTTACACGGAACTATTTAATCTATATGAAACTCTGGTAATAAATAAAATAATTTATACCAGCAAGTATATTTTGGTCGATGCATTAAAATCAAAAGAATAAAGATAAAGACAGAGAATGAGAATTGACAACCTTAAAAAAAAATGTAACCCATATTTTTTTTCAGCAATTCTTGGAAATACTGAGTTGGTTTTCTGAACAGTGATGAGAATGTAAAGAATAAAAGTGTTCATGTTAGGATTTTCGCACATTCCATGCAACATCGGCATTACATGAATGAAAATGTTTATTAACTTAAAGAAATTTAGTGCGTTTAAAATGGACCCATAAACACATAAACATACATATATGCATCATTATACCATTAATCACATTCAGCGTTTCATAACTCATTTAATTGATATTATGTATATACAATATATACAACTAATATATACAGTATGTTTTAATATGTTTTTTTTTTTTTTTTTTTTTTTTTTTTTTTTGGTAGTAAAGGGAAACCGAGCACATCAAGGGAAACCGAGTGAGTGAGCACCATTCTTCTACATTTTATCCTTTCCAAATGACCTAAACCGTTTAATAATAACCTCTCTTTCATTCATATATTCAGACATTTTTTTGTAATAAAAGGAAACCGAGCACGTCAAGGGAAACCGAGCGAACGAGCACCAATCTTCTAAAAATAAAAAAGAATTTATAAATCAAATCTTGCATTTTAACCTTTCTAAACGATCTAAACCTTTTAATAATAACCTCAACTTCATTCATATATTCAGACGACATTTTTTGGTAGTAAAGGGAAACCGAGCAGATAAAAGGAAACCGAGCGAGCGAGCACCATTCTTCTAAAAATAAAAAAGAGTTTATAAATCAAATCCTGCATTACATTTTATCCTTTCCAAACGACCTAAACCTTTTAATAATAACCTCTCTTTCATTCATATATTCAAACGACATTTCTTTTGGTAGTAAAGGGAAACCGAGCACATCAAGGGAAACCGAGCGAGCGAGCACCATTCTTCTAAAAATAAAAAAGAATTTCTAAACCTCATCCTGTTCTAATTCGCCCAAAGGCCTTGTATTAAATCCCCAACGACTATGGCCAATTCCCCAATCGTAAAGACGAACGGCGTTACAAAATTAATAAAATGAGGCAGAGATGTTGTTTTGACCCAGCTGTTGTGATGGTGAAGATGTCCAACGTTGCAGAACAGATTGCTCTCTATCAGAGGAAATTGGAGAAATATGCCGACACGGGGGAGACAGATAAGGTAAAAGGAGATACAGGAGAGCCGATATCTAACCATGGATAAGGAATAAAAGGAGTGGAGGGGGTGAAAAAGACGGAGAAAAGAGGCCGAGAGATCCAGGGCAAGGGGGTCGAGACGGATAGGAAGACCCGAGTGAACTTTTTTTTTCTTTTCCTGATTTTCTCTTGAAATAATCGGCCTTCGTGGATCCTTAAAAGCCCACGGGGATTATCCAGGGCTCGGTTTCTCGTCAGGCTTGGGAAGATGTGGCGTAATAGGGCAGCAGAAGGAGAGGAAAAAGGAATGAAAGACGAGACCACCAGGATTCCTTTACTGATAACAGAAACCCCTTTTTTTTCTTCTTCTTCTTTTTTTCTTCTTCTTCTTCTTTTTTTTTCTTCTTCTGCTGCTCTATATTTCTTTCAGCTCGCTGGTCTATCGGAATAGGAACTGTAGAGATAAAGAGCATTTCTAAGTTGTTGAGAACTTGACACAAATATGAACTCATTTGCTTTTCCAGTTGAAGTAGGGCATTTAGTCCATATAAGTATTGAGTTTTAAACTTTTTGCTTTTATAAGAGATAAATTACACTAGTGCACTGGTCTATACACCTTCATTACCCTGGCAAAGGCCAACAAACCTGAACTCATTATATTCTGACAAAATGCAACTTACAAATTGCCATAAATTGCCCTAAATAGGTCAGCATTAATTGATAGCATGACCTTCATGCCATGTACCCAGGCAATGCCCAATAAACTATTACTAGATATATTCTGACTAGATATTCCTTATATGATGATAGAGCTATGAGCTTTATCCTGCCAGCATATTCATAGTGGTTTGTTGGCCTGTAATGGAACACCTCCTCCAGGTCAGTGTAGGTTACCTTTCTAATAGGCAATCTGGGTAAGGGGTCAAAATTGGACAGTGCAAAGGCACCGAAAGAATAAGGCAATGGCCATTTATGAATGTATGAAATAACACCAAACCTTTGAAAATAAACTGCAGAAAGGTATAGCCACAATTGCTTATTAAAGTCCGAAAGTCTGCGTTCACATGGCTATGTGTAATGTCTGCATTTTGCTCTATGGCAAAGACTACCAAACATCCACCACGTACATTCTCGCAAGAGGAAGCGTGTCAACTCCGTGGTAATCTTGTCAAGGAACCAATTTAAGCTCGGTTTTGTCTAACATATGTAGAGGAGGTTTCTTGGTCCTTGTATCATCATTATCCTGCCCTTTAATCTATATGTCGGTAGGTGTCATTAGACAGTATCGTTTATTTTTCTAAATATTTATGCAGACCTATTCTGGATATAGACCTTATTGTCAAGTAAGGAAACTGTGGAAATTTCGATATTCCCTGAATAGTCCTATACATAGTGAAGGTTTATTGACCTCTGCCGAAACACCAAAGGACAAGAATTCACTGTGATTTCATTTCAATAGATGGCTCTAGAGGCACCTTGTCACCTACTTGACCTCACGAATTACCTTGTTAATGCATTTTTGGAAAGGAAAGTGTTTATTTGTATAACTGTTATCATAGTTGGTAAAAATGTAATAATGACATTAATGACGGAAAGGTTCAAGCAATCAAAAGAAATTTTTTTCTGAAAATTCAGTGAATGAGGCAGGCAGGTGAAGCAGTTTATGTGTCAACAAAATTATTAAAACGAAACCATAGTGAACAGTACCATATAATTCCAAGAAAGAGGTTTACTTTTGAAAGCGTCTGTAGGTTAGCTGATAATATTTGCGTATGTAGTATTAGCTTTTTTTGTGAATTTGCAGATTTTTACAATATCAAAGTTATTCATTTGCTGATATTCCGAGATCTTGTTGCTTGTTTGTTTAATTATTTTATTTATTATTTGTTACTATTGTCGTCATTGATATCTACTTGTTTATTTATATATTGCATAGAAAAGACAATATTAACTTTCAAAAAAGATGATTATAATTATTGTGGATGGGATGTAGCTAACGATAACTTGTGTTTTTGTATGGGTGAAGTGTGAGAAGAAAGATTAAGAATCTATCTCGACACAAAATTGTAAAGTGAATATCAGATTAGTATCATCACACAAGATGTACAATTTACAATATAGCATCATTATCATAATCATCGTAAACATTATACACAGGAGTAGACTGTAGAACTTGGACATTGGCAGTGAAGCATCGGGAGTTTTTCAGTAGAATAATACTGTTTTTCCTTATTGCAACCTCGTTTTGTTGTTTGTTTGCAAGGAAGTTGTGGACCCCTAGAAAATGGTCCTATATCTATCTTAAATCTTCATAGACTTACTTTCTCTTTGCAAATTCCCTGACGTATATTCGGATAGGGTCAAGACCTTTAACAATTCTGCATTTGATGGTAAATTACTAGGTAGGTAGACAACCTTTATCATGTCAGAACAAAACTGGTGGAGGGTTGTTTGCCTTGCCGGAGGAGCGTGTAGTGTGCAGGCAGATACTCAATGAACTTAGTTATGTGAGTACAGGATATGGGCTTACTTTACTCCCTGATGCTCATTTATAATGGGTAGTTGATAACATTATTTTATTAGTTGTATTGGATAGTTAGATTTTCTCTGACTCTGTTCAGAACTTTCATCATCTTTTTTTCTTTCTTTCTTTCTTTCTTTCTTTCTTTCTTTCTTCATCTTCTTCTTTTTCTTCTTCATTTTGCTAAAAGAATATATCAATTTAATTAGAACTAGAATATATACATTTAATTTTGACTATCTTAAAGGTAGTTTATTATTGTGAATGTCAGGTTATTGAAATTTTGATCAAGGCTTGACCACTGGAAATTAATTTAACACAATAGAATATATATGAAAAGTGTATATTTTTTTGCAAGTCCACATTCTTAGCTGTTGTCATGGTACTCAGGATAGGAAAGCTGAAATTAGCATGCATGAAAATGTCCCATCAATCATTTAATATTTAGAATGAAAGACAACATGCTTTAACTGTGATGTAACACTTTGCACTTATTGGATTTGAAAGCTGTAGTTTTATGACTGTACACATCTTTACATATTAGATTAGGGATTACTTTGCAGAATACTGTATATGCCTTGATTGCAGGATTTGGGCGCTTCACAAAGTATTTTATTTGTGAAGTTTACATATATACACCATATAGATAAATATGTAGATAGACAGCCAATATATATGTATATATATATTTATAATAATGTATGGTTAAATTCTATTATATAAATGAAAGATTAAGATGTGCTTCATTGTATACAAAGGTAAAGAGTATTTTGACATCCCTTCGTAGAAGAAATATTCACTGCTCCACAGCAAAAACAAAGACAAATTAAATGATACAAAAGTTATCTTAATATTTCCTAAGATAAAAGCTATATTAACTTGGAAGTATTTATTTCCTTTTTCTTCTGTTATGAAAATGCTTTACCTTAATTTTTTGTGTTGTTTTCACAGCTATTATACTACATCCATAAGCTGAAATATCTGCAAGTGACAGTCAGCCACCTGGAAGAGACAGGTGTCGGGAGGTCTGTCAATGCTCTGCGACATCATTCTGGCCTCGTAGGGGACAAGGCGAGAGCACTGGTCAACAAATGGAAGATGATGGTGACTGCAGAAGAGGAGGAGGAGGAGGAGGAGGAAGAGGAAGATGATGATAGACAGAGGGGAGATCACACAGAAGAAGATAGGGTAAGAGAGAGAGAGAGAGAGAGAGAGAGAGAGAGAGAGAGAGAGAGAGAGAGAGAGAGAGGTTTAAAGGTTTTAATTTTGATTCCATTTGTTACAATGGATATTCTTGGTGTGACACAAGTGTCTGTTTTATTTTGCTTGTAAATTATCCCCTGTGTGCAAGGAATGGCCGGGGTTACCATCCACTGGCGGTGAGGGATTTGAACGCAGGTCAGCAAGATTGCTAGACGAGATCGCTGCTGCTGCACCACACAGCTCACAAGAGAGAGAGAGAGAGAGAGAGAGAGAGAGAGAGAGAGAGAGAGAGAGAGAGAGAGAGAGAGAGAGAGAGAGAGAGAGAGAGAGAGAGAGAGGGAGAGAGAAATTGTGTGTGTATGTGCGCATGCATGCGCCTGTACCTGTGTGTGTGTGCCTGTCCCTGTGTCTGTATCTGTGTCTCTCTGTTTGTTTCTTTGTCTGTCTATTCGTGCATGTGTATGTTTGGGGGGAGTACTTGAATATACCCATGCTAACAGTGCCTTTTGATTCTTCATAAAGGTCTAGTAATATCATTGACTCCTCGCCTTCAGTAAAGGATGAAGGCGAGGAAAGTAATGGCATGCAGATTACTAATTGAACTCTACTAAAATAGTATTTGATAACATTAAGATACTCATATTGTCAATGGTATCAATATTAATAGCATTAGAAATCAACATATTCAAAGAAAGTGGTAATTAGGCATAGTTACTTGAGCTTACTAATTAAATACTTGGTGGTTGAGTACTATTGGCGCCATGAATGTGCAATAAAAGTCAGTGTCGGATATATTGTAAACAGTTGATACCTTTTATCTCTTATATATGATAAGTTAAAGATTCTGAGCATAATAAAGTGGAGTTGTGTTTTAAGAATGTTAGATATTAGAAATGTTGTTTGTATATATAGTATATAGAATTATCTGGTTTTATGCATTTCTTTACCAGTGTTATAATCTTTGCAGGGAGGAGGAAGAATAAATGTACAACAGTCTGAAAGAGAGGAGGAAGATGATGAGGGAGCTGTAGCAGAGCCAGATGATGAAATCAGGGAAGAGGAGGATGAAGAAGACAGACTCCAAATTGAAGAGAGTGGGGACATTGCAGACGACTATGAGGATGAGGTGGACTCAGGAACCTATGGCTATGGCCAGCAGAGCTCTCCTGCAGGTGGAGAAAACAGCAATGGGTACAACCCCTACACATCACAGAAGGACTACCAGTTACTCAGTGGTAGCTCAGGAGTCTCAACTGAGTATCATCCCTCCAGCATGGATGCCAAGGCCTCCAGTTACAGCTCCCCAGAAGGCTCATCAGGACCCAGCTGGAAAGAGGCGTCACCAAGCATATCCGCTGATAGGAGGAATGGTAGCAGTTCCAGCAAGTCCTCGTCGAAAAAGAATAGTAAAGAGGACAAAGATCGGCATAGGGAGAAAGAGAGACACAAGGAGAGGGAGAAGGAGAGAAGTAGGGATGGCTCAGGAGGCCATGAAAAAGACAGAAAAAAGGAACACAAGGAAAAACACAAAGACAAACACAGAGATAAGGATAGAGACAAATCTCACAGAGACAAACACAGGGACAAAGATAGAAGTAGTGATAAGCCCAAAGAAGAGTCAAGAAGAGAGGAGAGTGCGGATGGACAAAGAGAAGAAAAAGACAGAGGAAAGAAGAAAGATGTGCTCAATGGATTTAGTACCCCAGAAATAGAAAAAAGATCGGCTGGAAAGCACGAAAGCAGAGACGGTGCGAAAAGAAATGTGGACGAAAAACGAAAAGAGAAAAGTGAAAAGAGTAGTCATGGGAAATTAGAAAGTACAAGTAAAGAAAGTTCAAGAGAAAAAGAGGGAAGGGATAGACATGATACAAATAAAGAGGGTACCCGAGAAAAGGAGAGCTCTAGTAAAGAGAGCAATAGGGACAGAGATAGAAGAAAAGAGGAGAAACACAGGGACAAGCATAGAGACAGCAGCAAAAGAGATAGGGACAAAAGTGATAGGGAACCAAAAAGTGACCATAGAGAAATAGACGAAGGTTCAGAAAGTGACAGAAAAGAACTGAGTAAGAAGAAGAAAAGCAAAAAGCATGATATGAGTGAAGGACTAGACTTCGGTGCAGCTTTGATGGGTCAGTACACTTTCCTTCTAGTTTGAGTTCTAAGTCTTGAACATCATCACCACAGTTATCATCATCATCCTCCACTATCATTATTATAATCATCATCAGTTTTACTTTTCTTTCTCCTTTGTAAGGGATATTTCTTCTCAGTAGAAAAATTAAGTTTCAACCAAATATTAACCCCTCCATGGCAACTAATGGGATATTGCATTCTGATGTATTTTGAAGTGTCTAGGCAGGAAATAAGTTACCAAAATAAGTGTTTGTGGGTACTTCTGCACTGCTTGACATCCCATACTGCTTGCTAACCATCCCCTTCAAGTGTTGAGTATTAAGCAAATATGTTTGTTGTCCTGAGCCAAAAAATCAAACTAAATCATAGTTGTAGTTTTCTTTGATCTCATCTCCAGCCATTATTTTCATTTCTTTACCACAATTTCTGTTTCTGTGATAGGAATTCTCAAAGAATATGCCCACTTTTAAGGGTTGCTTTGTCCCCTCTAGCTTGCCAAGGAGTGATTTAGTATTGATATTGACGGTGATGATGAAAATTTATGAGGTTTTGTTTTATTTTACATCTGTCGAGTTTAGCTTAATGTTTTTATAAAGAGTAACGACATGAATGCATTCACTCGTAGGCTGAAATAATCAGCCTGCGATGGTATGGGGAAGGGATGATTATGTATGCAAATGCCATGGCTACTGTGAATTTAGTTAAGTAATTGTTTTTACACATAGATCACTGCACAAGTAATACATCACCAATAATTTTTCCTTTATTTCATAAAATATTCTCTGGTATTTGATATTGCCGTTAGTAATGCCAATTGATTATATTGTATATAATAAGAATAACAGCATAGTTATTGTTAGCATTAGTAAAAAAAAAAAAAGTAGAAAAAATCCTGCAAAGAAATGCAAAATCAGACAAGATCACAGTCTGCTAATGCACTTGTTTGTGGCTAAGCACTCAGAGACATCTATGTGCAGAGACATTAAACAAAACTATACAACTTTGGACACAGCATTTTACGTGTGACGGTGACTGAAATTAGCCTATAGCTAGTCTTATTCATTCAATTTATCAAATGAAAATCCAATGGCTCAGTGATACCTTAACCCATTTGCCCCACGTGGCAAGAATAGATGCCATGCCCACTTTGATACATGTTTATTTATTGTATTTACACATAGATGGCTCCACAAGTTCTTAATCACCAAATTGCCAGTTATCAAGAACTACCTATATCACCTGTTTACCCTTTTCCTTCACTTTAGGAAAGGGTTTTTTGTATCATTTCATTGTCTAAAACATTCTAATGACAATTTAATAATCATAACATCAATAACAATAATAACAGTATCGATAGTAATGGTATTAATTTTCCCGCCAATTCAATGAATAGGAAAATCAGGATCGGTAACTAGGGCCTACTGATAGACTCTTTGCCGCCTGAGCACATGTGGAGCCATCTGTATGTAACAAAAGTCACCAAAAACTACAAGGGACAGAACGTAAATCCAGGGCGAATGGGTTAGGACATGATTATTAGTGTTATTGGCATTACTAATAGCAACATAAGATATATGAAGGCATTTCTAAAAATCAAGTGAAAGGGTAAACAGATGAGACAGATAGCCAGTAGCTATTAGTAATTGGCTCATCAGTAACTTAAGTACTGAGGCAGCCATCTGTATGTAAAGACAATTGCTAAACTAAACTCACAGTGGATGTGGCATCCCTAGTTATTGCAGTTAGATTAAAAAGTATCTGTTATATTGTCTTAGCAAAACACATGTTCAGTAACCTTTTTCACAATAGTAATTTCAGGCTTTACCAGACTACAACATCATAGCCTACTTTTTTTTACAGTTTCCTTTGTTATGTTATATTAGATTAACAAAGATATCAGCAGTGTTTTTTCTTGATTAAGACTACTAGGAATACCAATTATTTCAGATATTCAAGAATTTTAGAATTAGTATATAGTATATGCCTCATCACTCACTTTTTTATGTAGTTATTTCAGTTCAAGGTTGCTTTGTATACAGCTTAATGGTTTTTATCTCATATCGTCCCTTCTAATTTGTTTGTAGACTTTACAAAACAACAAAAAAAATAGCTTCCAATATTTGATAATGCCACAGTGTAAGTATTTGGTCAATATAATTTTTGTATCACATCAATAACTTTTGCTTTACTCTTAAACAGTATAATTTATTCTTTCTCTGTTTTTGTTATATTGATTATTTTGATATGTTTAGCCTCTTCTTTGTGTAGCTAGTTACATTCACCAGTAGTTTTCTTTTCTATCCTTCACTATATATTTATGTGTTGAATTTCATTTAGATTGTTTCAGTCACTGGTGTAGGTAATTTTTTTTTTTTTCATCAGAAGAGAAAAAGCTGTATCATGTACTATATTATAAACATTTGTTTGTATTGACCTATTTTATATTTGATGCAATTAATTTATTTTCCAGCCCAATAGAAATAGAAGTAGTTGAAGCTTCTATTGGGAGCCAAGGCCAGTTTATCAATATGTATAAAAGGAAGTCATATTTTTTCTCAAATGATGTCCTTTGTATACAGATATACATGTAGTACATACATACCTATAGTTCAGAATATTGTTCATTCAGTATGTGATTCCCAGTATCTGATGGTTGTATTTATGTTTGTAAATTAGAATTTTTTTTCCTAGGTTTATTTTTGTATTTCTTTCTGTTTCTATATTTGTCCTAAAAGAAGTCATTCCACAGACATTTTGGATAAGTTTTAGTGGGTTATTTGGCTGTTGCGTTTGTACAAGTGAATGCTTATTGACAGTACTTTTTTTTTTTTTTTTTTTTTTTCCCCCTCATTATTTATTTATTTATTTTGTCAAGTTAGATAAGAACAAGTCAGATTTTGTGGAGGATTGTCTACTTTATATATACTGTATATATATTTTAATTATATTTTATGACAGATATTTAGTGATTGTATGACTTCACTTCAGCATTTTTTAGTGTAGAGACATCTTGCATCTGTCAATATACCTTCAGTTTTAACAACCAGCTGAAACAAGGAAGTTCATGATATTTTGTTCATTGATTAAGATTCACCTCATCTTTCATAAAATGTGCAACATTCTAGCATTAGTCTGATATTTTTGGTAGAAATTTTTGGGATGTGCAGACATATATATACTGATGGTTATAAGACTTTTTTTTTTTTTTTTTTAATCTATAACAGGTTTAGAATCACCAGTGAAAAAGAAAAAGAAGAAAAAGAAAAAAGACTCACAGAAAGACAGGGAAAGTTCAGACGAGGGACAGCCATCCTCAAGCAAGTCATCCAATAAGAGAATGCTATCCGATGGGGGAGGTTTACCAGATGCTAAGAAGGTGTGAACTAGATCTAAGAAAGCATTACTTGAGGACTAGAGTGAAGGATAACTCACATGATTTTGTGAACTGAAATAGATAGATCCTGACCTAAATGACCTAAAGAGAATCATCGTAACATATATGCTATTGATAGTGCTTGGTGATAATGATATTTCCATGTACCCACAGCAAATGACTCTCTTCCTTTTAACTTACAGCAAAAATTATTGGCAAAGCCACCAACCTTACCCTTCCTGCCGTCCTCATTAAATCTGCCGCCAGAGGAGCCCTTGCTTCCAGAGATAACACCCAATTACAAGCCACTGCCAAGACTTCAGCTAAAAGACGATCCAATGGAACACATGTCCTCCAAGATGACTGAAGAGGAGGCCCTAAATATCATGTTTCAGTCAAAGAATAACAGGTATTTTGCTATATTCTGTAACAATTTTGAGGAAACAGACAAATTTTCTGTTTATAGTCAAGTCAGATTTAAGGATAAATATTCTTCTTTTTAGAATACCCTTATCAGGGTAGTAGTCACATAAAAGTTCAGCATACACATGAAGTGTCTGTGTAATGCAGCATTTCATACTCTAATATGACCAGTAGCTTCCCGATACATTCAGTGGTATTAGAATACACATCACATAGATAATGGAAAATGAGAATAGAAATGGTTTATGTTTTTTTTTTTTTTTTTTTTTTTTTTTTTTTTTTTTTTTTTTATGGCCAGGTGCCTGATACTGGCATTATACAATTTTGGTTATTAATCATTTATTCCTGCTGTAAAAGATATACAATTATTTTTTTTTACATATGTAGATAATGATGAAGAAAGAACTCAGTCATATTCATATATGATAATACTCTTATAGACTGGATTACATAAAACTGGCATTTCTGTTATATTGTCTAAACCCCAATTTGAAGAGCTGTTATCACTTTGCCTGGCTGAATAAGGCCCAAGTGCCAAATTTCTCATCCTGTGGCACTGTTTTGTCATGTGAATAAAGTATAAGTGCTCAACTCTGATGCAGAAGGTCACTGTTAACAATCAGTACAAGAAGGCATTACATACACATTCTGTTTAAGCTTTACTTGAAATCATTTCCTTGGTCTCAAATAGTTAATCCTTTCAGCATTTGGTTACTTGCCAATTTTGTCTATTCTGCCATAGCAGTAATTCACTTTTATTGTAAGAAAGTTATTTCTAATGATGGAAATTTCATCTTAGTTACATTTTGAAGCTTAATTGTTCTACTTTACAATAGCAGTTTTGAAAGGGCTTAGCAAGTGAAATATAATTTTAAAAGAAAAGAAATTAATAAGGTTATATGCAGTGTTTGAAAATATCAACTGACATCACATGAATAGAGTAAAATTGTATGACATGACTTGCATGTCATTTATGCCAAACTTTCCAGAATATGACAACAATATTAAATTCTTTCTTTAAGTTTGGAACAGGGAAGAATGAACAAGTTTCTGATGCATTTTCTGAATATATACATATAGATGTTGGAGGAACCCTCACACATGTAACATGAATCTCATTTGTCTCTGTAGGGATAACATTTCTTAAATATGAATACCTCCTTCTAGAAAATTGTTGATTGGAAATCAAAAGGTGAAAGTGCCCAAATTAACCAAATGCTATGCCCATTTTAGAATGTTTTGTGAAATGTCTGCGCATAGATGCCTGTAAGTGCTTAGCCACAAACGAGTCAGACTTTGTGACTTTACCTGATTTCACCTTCCCTAGAATTTATGGGAAAAACATTTCTTTTACTAATGCTATGAATATCAATGGTGTTGCTTTTAATATAGACATTATAATTACTATAACATTATTGATATTAGTAACAACAGTATAAGAAAACAAACTATTCTCAAAAATCAAGGAAACAGTAAGATAGGTAGTACTTTTAATTGGTTCAGTGGTGACTTAGTACAAATGGAGCCATCTATGTGTAAAAACAATCAATAAAGTAAACTCACACTGGGCATAGCATGTACATACATACACATCTTCACATGTGAAAGATAGTCAGTCTGTAAAATGTGTAAGGTACAGTAGTGGAACACACTGGCTATCAGTGTAAAAGAGAGAGAGACATAAAAAAAATAACAAGCAACTTACTGATATAGAGTAAAATATAAAAAAAAAACACAAGGTTGGAAATGTAACTCAACTTGTTTCTCTTCCATTATTTGCTTACACTTTTGTATTGTTTGTATCTGAAATGTAGAAAAAAAACATTCAGTATGGAAATTGTAGTTGATAGTATAAAGTGATTTATTTTTATCACAGCTTTTGTGAAAAAATCATGATAAAGATGAGAAGTTTGCACATACTCATAAGAGCTGCCATGTCTCCTTCCAGTTGTTCCCAAGATATTTTAGCTTATAGTTCCACATTGTACCAAAAGATTGCACCAAATCTTCTGTACACAGCATTATAAAAACCCCAAGACAACTGGCAAAAATATTGTACAGGGCCTTATATATGTCAACACATGGAGAAACAGGTGTCATATGAAGAGATTAGAGTAATTTGAGAGATTTTGTGTGTGTGTGTTTGTTTTGTAATGTTACTGTAACATCTATACATCAAATACTGTATGTCATTGGTATCAAGTTGATGCATGAATATCCTATTTTTTATCCCCATATAGTTATATTGTGGCAAGATGTCACAAGTGTAAATTGGCTATGTGTTTTCCATTGAATATAGTTTTTTGTCATCAAAATTATTAAAGACATAAACTTGATGTAGATTAATTAACCAAATGCTCTTCTTAGAATCAGCTGTGTTCATTAAAGGATAATTTACATGTTTTCTTATGTAAAAAACATATTTTTGTTACTACAGACTAGTTTTTTTTTATATAGATGGATTGTTTATCTTTTTCAGGCGTAGTAAAATGTACTCAGGGAAAGTAACTGGATTGGCCTATGTGCCAACACTGTATGAAGCCTGCATCAGAGTCTTACAAGAAAATATTGATGGTAAGTTTTGATACAATAAAAGAAATTCAGGATTGATGGAAAGCAGAAAGAAATTCTTATAATGTTCTATGATATTCTCTGTCAGTTTCAGCTACATATTTTCCTTTCTTACAGCTCTGGAAGTTACTGGGGGAATTCCCTTCGAGATTCTGCAACCAGTTCTAGAGCGAGCATCTCCACAACAGCTTATAACTCTTGAAGATTATAATTCATACTTATTAGAGGATACAGATGTATTATGGGAAACCCACTGTAAAAGAGATTTTAAGAACAAAGTAAGTATAGATAATGAATAACTTTTTTCTTTCTTTCCTATTTTAAAAATTCTTCAGGCACAAAAGTTGTCATTTGATGTTCAGAAGAAAGACTTTTTTTAATTTGTTAACTGATCATTCTTAAACATAAGGTCTTTAAAGTGAGTGTCTTGCACTATAGGTCAGACAACTCTGGCTGTTAACCCAGTGAGCACAGTCTTTTTTGGCAGCTGCGTGGTCCACCAAACAATATATATATGTATGGGCCGGGCATGCACGGCGTGGTTATTCTCTCATTGCACTTGCCTCAATGACTCTCTCACTTACTGCTAACTGAA